TTTGCTTGGCTCCTGGGAGAAACCGTAAATATGAAAGCAGAAAGCAAGAAACTTTATTTGGGTTAGCGATTGTTTAAAAATGCATAAGGATGTGAGACTTGGAGTAGCCTGAAAGAACGGGGAACAGAAAGAAGCCCGCAGGAGTTTGGCCAGAGGAGCGCAAACTCAAAAGCCCCCGAGGAGAGGAGAAAGGGAAGCTTAGAAAGCAAATGGAGCTAAAATGCCAGTAGTGAGAGAAAGCATAAATATATTGGGTAAATAATTAAAGCTAAATATTGTAAGATATAAATATGAAATAAATCTTAAAGGGAGTTATTATTTTTACTACTATTTTATTATTTGTAATCCTTAGGAAATATTTTTGTTTACATTTTTCTCACTGTACTGTTCCAAACTGAATCACACCAGATGTTGGAAAAATGCAGGAGCTAGAAAAGCTGCAAGACCTAGACTGGAAAAAGCCCAGGAGAGGCAGATGACATACTTGTAGGTTGAATTTATGCAGGTACCGAGTATTATTAAGGATTTCCCCCAATAAACTTGCAGTGATTTAAATGTAATATGCAAGATAGACGATGTCTTTGGGTTATTTAAATCAAGACACTCACTCACGACGACCCACTCACTTGGAAAACAGGCATTCACTGGCAAGAGTTTTGTAAATTAAAAAATTATGGATGGCCAAGTTAATGGCTTTCTCGATTGCTGAAAGCCTAAATAAGAGAAAGATGTAGATGAGCGACTGGCAGGCAGTGGGTGCAGTTTTGCAATCAACTTTGAGTGGGCGAAAGTGGTTCAAGTGGCTTGACTTGGCGATTTGCTATTTGCGAATGTAAATGCAATTTCATTAAATTGAATATTTATCGGTTGTCATTGAGCAAATTGCAGGTGAATTGAGGTGTATACTAATACTTGTACAAACCGCTCATGCTGACGATAATGTGTGCAGTTATACCGCCAAAGATAATGCTTGGAAATCATCATTAGCACCGCTCAGGGTTATAAACATTCTAAGCTGTTTAGGCTAAGAGTTGTCTTGGAAAATTGCCTTTTCCGACAAATTGTCAACAGCGATATTTTTGTGGCTGAATGAAAAGAACCGCTGGTGGCTGTTACCTGGCTCGAACAGGTTTTCAGGGAATTCTGCGCACAGTAGCCGTTTGATGAGCATAAATCTTGATATCGGAACATTATTAACGTCAATTAATTCTAACTGTTTGGAAACGAAGGCCATCCATTAAGCCCCGAAGTCACAAGAGGGAGGAGAATCTTCAGAGAACAGCTCAGCTCGGCTCACCTGGGACGACGATGGACCGTTGGATGGATGGATGGATGAATGGCTGGCATTTCTCCAGAGACGGAGACCCTCAACCTGTTTTTTTCTTTCTTCTGCCTTTCTGTAATCGATACAAGTGGCTGAGCTGAGCTGTATTTGTTATTTTTAGTACCCCGAGTATTTTCCTGGTGGCCCGCTGTTTTCCCTCTTTTCGCCTCACGATTTCCCAAATCCGATTATTATCAAGTCTCACGTGAGTGCACGCTTTGTGTTGCTGCTTAGTTTTATTTTTATTTCAACCTCTTGCCATCTTGGTACACTCGTATTTGCGCTTTTTACAGTTGCCTCTTCTGCCGTTTGCTTCCTTGGAAAATTGCTTTGAACTTGAAAATTTCCCACGTGACGCGGCGAGAATCAATCTCTTCTGCTTGCTTTTCTCCTGCTCTTTGTTCGTGTCACCCATGTGTGCAGTGTATTTTTCCTCCACCACCTTCTCACCCCTTGCGAATTTCCCCTTGAGTTTTCCTTACACGAAAAGCAGCTGCACTTTGCATGTCATTCCGTTAACGGTGTCGTCTTTTCTTCGCTTTTTCTTCTTTTGTTTCTTGGCTGGCTGGCTAGCTGGCAGTATTATTTTTGTTTTGTCTGTCTCCTGTGGCAAGTGTCGATTTGGCTTAATTGGATGGCTCTTCTTCGTGTAGCCCATATCTTTTTTTTCGGGGGCTAAAGAGCGAATTCCCATAATCGTGGGTAATTTTTGGCTTTTTTCAAATTTCTTTTATTTGTTTGTAATTTCTGTGGGAATTTCAACAGGCTAGAGAATGGAGATTTTGGATCAAATATGAGAAGATCGATCAAAGCGAAGTACGATCCTCAATTTCTAGATTTTATTACAGAAGCATCCGAATTCTCAAGTGGTTCTGGCATCTACATGGCTTAAAAATCTACTAATGACGTGATTTTCTTGTCTTTGAATCAGCTATCAATATATCAATATATATTAATATATCAGCACCACTGAAACCCTATAATTCCCAAGTGGTTCTAGCCTCTACCTAACCAAGAACCAAGTAAAGACGTGTTATTATTTTCTTTGCTAACTCATCCTAAAGAAATTGCTTTCTTTTTAATCCAAAATAAAGTGTTTGCTAGATAACTCTATAAATTTGTTCTCGCTTCTTGCTAATCGCAATTCTATGCTTTTTGTGACCAAAACTCTTTTGCCAACACTTTGAAAAGTTCTCGTGTATAGCAGAAGTGTCTCTCTGGTAAATAAAACCCAAGAATTATGCAGCCGCATTCCGGAATTTCCATTAGCACTCGCCGTTGTAGCTGCTGTCGCCGGGCACTTTCCATAAAGCAAGTTCGTGCCATTTCACAGATCCAGTCCACAGCGGAGTTTCGGTGTGAGCCCGATGAAAAAAAAATAAAGCACAGAACAAAGTGATTTTCTTGGAGGGCTTCATGCTGAACACAAAAACCCAGTACAGTGAAGACTGTGTTGAGCTGCAAATGCATTTACCTGGCCAGCACGTTCCAATCGCAAAGGGGGAAGTGCAGAGTTCGCCAGTCGTAAAAAAAAGAGCTCTTAACGATTGTGTATGGCTCAGAACGAGACTTGGCCAAGACCGGTGGCAATTAAAAAGAAGTTAACACATGGCAGCCAAACGGGTAGGGTGAAGAGGTAACAAAAAATGGCAGGGCGACAGTTCATAGATGTCAAGTTCATGGTTACTTCAAGGGCCCGGGAATTACCTGTCAGAGTCCAAAGACAAAGTGAGTAATTAATTTACAGGCCAAGCCGCCTTAATCTATCAAATCTCTCTCTACTCCCTAGCTTGGGGGCTCTGTGAGAATTTTTGCTTTTGATTTAATGAGTTTTTTATGGGGTGATGCTCCCATAGGATTGAATTCTTTATGTAAACGGTTCAATGAGCTCTCTGGCTTTGCTGGACTAATTAATGGCTAATTAAACTCGGAGATTTGATGGGGGTTCTTGGTCATACAATTAATTTAATTTAAGGTTTTCGATTAACCTTTTAATTCTAGCCTACTGAGTGATTTTAATGGGCTATCAAGCTTACTCTTTTATTTTATTTTATTTTGTTTATTAAGCTCTCCCCCTTTGTTCATTTCCAACTTTAACTTTTAGTGATTTTTCACAACTTTAAAAGTCATTTATAAGGCTACTACCCCTTGATCATCCTCAACATAAGCCTACTGTGTGCTGTCATGATGATGATGATGAAATTTAAGAGGCTTAGATTTTGGGTAAAACCCCACATGCAAAGGCTTCCAAACTCTAAACTCCCATGTGGCTGCGTAATCAAATGCATGTAATTTGAGTTTAATGAGTGTCAAAGTTATTAAAAATCATTTGCTCCGACCAGTTATGGTGTCTGGTTGGCCAAGTTAAGTCGAGTCGAGTCGAGTTCGAGCCCGGGCTGGCTGGCTCTCCATGAAAGGCAAGCAGCGGTTACAAAATCGTTTCGAGACATTTTTGGGCTCGTCAGCGGACTTAATTACTTGGCAGAAAACTCATTCTGTTGCCGCTACAATTCTGGCCAAATGAAATGTGTCAATAAATTCAAATGGCTGAAAAATAAAGTTATTAAAGGGAGGGAGGCAGAGTAACCCGCTAAACCAAAGTGAGATCTCTTTTAATAAAGCTGTTTTTGGTGTCGGCGACAAACAAACAATGATTACAGCAGGCAGCCAGACAGTGTCGGCCATAAGTTGTGCGACCAGTTTGCAGATACTCTGTCAATAGCCACTTGAATATTCTTGGAAATCAGTTTGTTTACACAACTTAATATAAGCCGAAGTTGGCTTTATATTGACTTTGTTTATTTATGGCGGCGTTTCCAATGAAATTAAGGGGAATTTGTTATGGTTACAATACTGAGAGTATGAAATTGTACATTTTCCCCATTGATTCATATCATTTTCAGTGCCTGACAAACTGCGTAATAAATATTCTAAGTCTCCCAGTGTATGTATATGACTTTAAGTTAATTTTTACCCACTAGCCATGCTTCGATTTGTGGCAAATGCAATTTTTATGCTTTCTGGCAGCGTGGGCGTGGGCGTTGCACACTCACCTAACCACAACACTTGCCCCTCCCCCCGCAGAGTCTCCTCTCGCACTCAGATATTGATTCGATTGTGTGCGTCTGCTGCTTACATGGCGTATGATTGATGGCCCTGCGGGCACGAAGGAGCAGAAAATGGCAAGGCAGAGGCAAAAGGAGTCCTCCTCGCCAGACGTGAAATATGAAATTAGCCCTGCTAGCACTGCTGCTGCTGCTGTTGGCTGGATGGATATATAAATTGCATTTATTGGTGAAATTGACAGAAAAAATATTTGCACGTTAAATAGAAATTAATCAAGAGAAGCGAAGGAAATACTAGAGTCTGCACACAAGCTGTGAAAAAGATGATTAAACTGCTTGGGTTAATTAAAATGTAATCGAAATATAATTAAAAACAAGAAAAGGCCTTGGGGCTTATGTTTTGAAATGTTTTAAAACGGAAATAAATAGTCCATGAAATAATAAATATGATATAAACTTGAATAAAATTGTAATTAGAAATAAAAAAATATTTAAATGGGAAAATAAGCCTTGTTTTTCCATCAAAAATAATTTTTAAAATACTAATTTATAAAACAAATTTTAAAAAATGGAATTAATGTCTAATTAAACCATATTTCCCTTCATTTCAGCCACCTCATGTCTGGACCCTACAGTCTGAGCTTCTCAGAGTTCTAAGCCAAAAAGACAACGGAAAGTTTAGGGGTAAGTTTGTGCTTTATACTTCGTAGCTGGTGTTACTCATGTCTAAATACGAAACCCATAATTTTCTCACATTTAATGTATATATATCTTGTATATCTCCCGTGGCTGCTTTGGCTGTGTGTTTCCATGTGTTGTCCATCTGTATACTTGTCGCGGTTGTCGGTTGTCATTTGTTGTTTTGGTTTTGTGAGATTTTTGCACTGCATTCGGAAACTGGTTAGATTGGTTTTGCGGTGAGCGCTAAGCATTTGCATAAAGTTTTGTTCTGTTTTTCTCTCTTTAATCGTTGTGTGTCTGTCTGTCTGTTTGTACCTGCTTCCCTCTTCCCTCCTCTAGACTTTAATTTATTTTCATTGATTGCAAAAATACAACTTTTGACTTAATGGCTCTGTGACGTAATGCGAGCTGAAATTAGCGAAAAAGGCTGCGTCTCAGGACTTGTGAAATATGCTACTTGTATAATTAATTGAACTATACGTTTGGTTTATTGGCTGTTGGCCATACAATTTGTTAAAAAGAAACGTTGCTGCTGCTGCTGGGCGTCAAGAGTTATTGAATTAAGTCAGTGGGTAGATGTAACCGAACACCTGCTAAATTGCACGTCAGTTTAATTGATTTCCAAAGCTAGGGAAAGATTTATTGAAGGGAGAAAAAGGAGAAACTCTGAAATGCACAAACAATTTTTAATCATCAAATAAATGCCAAAATGTCAATGCTTCATTTGGACCATTTCGATTCTTGTTGTTTGCCTTCCTTTGTGCGATTTCCCAGCAGATTTATGTGATTCGAATCCAACTTCTGTTTCTCTTTTCGACTTTGAACAGGAAGTCGCTAGCTGGGCGGCTGGTCAATGGCCACCCAGGTAAGTGGGTTCTGTGGTTTTTCGGGTGGCTCCAAGGTAATTTGTTGCCGGCTTGTGGGCCTAGACAAAGGACTGATTGCTGGACTTGACTGACTTGACTTGACAGACAGGCAGGCTGGCAGGGAGGCAGCGAGGCAGCAAAGGGTTAAGGGCAACATACACACACACTCCACTCCACTTGAGTCCAAGCTAATTTAGCCATTGTATTAGCCAATTGTGGTGGCTCTTCCTGGCCTCCTCTTTCTCCTATATATCAGCTTCGGCTTCAACTCAAGCCTGAGTTTGTTTGGCCAGCATAATGATGCCACTTGATTGAAAATGAACGTGACTGGAAAACAAGTTTCGGGGTTAAAGTTTTTCTTGTTTCGCTTTTCTCTCGCCTCGTTTCGTTTCGGTTGATTCTGCTTCCTCTGCGGTCTCTCACTGCTGATTCTCTGGTGTTCGAATAAACAGAAAATGGCAAAATAAATTAGCCCGGAGATGCTCTCTCAGGCATGAGCCTGCTTCCACTGTGACATGTTTTTGTGCTGGCTCAGCAGGAGCCGGGAGTCGGGAGCCGGAGGAGCCATGCGAAATTGCATTTAGCATTATTTAATTAAAGTTTTCTCCTCAACTGCTCGGTCATCTTTCCCCGTTGCCGTGCCCTGCCCTGTGCTGTGGTCTGGGCGCCATTTTGTTGCATGTTTTCTAATAGAATTATGTGCGCATTTCCGTTTCCGGTACACGCAACAATGCACCGAGAGACGTCAACAAGGAAAATGGCGCCTTCGATTTAGCGGTGTAACAGTGGGATGAAGGGTGTACGGAAAACCTATGAAGAACTGATTTATAAAATCAAAGAAAAACGTTTAAATAATAAAAGAAAATATGTGAATTTATATCCTCCAGTTCTTTTTATCACAGCTAAAAACTATAAATATATATGATCATTTTAACCGCTGAACTTAAACTCCCTTTTTCGTCTTTACACCACTGTGTGCCCATCGCTGGGTGGTGTAAGAATAATAGTTTGCCATTATTAAGTTTTTGCGGGTGGATTGGGGCTTTGCATTTTGCATTTTACATTCGTTGTTGCTTCTGATTTTGTTGCAGTGGCTGCTGCTGTTGCCGTTGCCAAGGCAAATTATTTGCAGCATCCCCACAACAGAGTGTGCCACAATAAGTGGCTATACAAGGACCTTCCTCTGGCCCCCGCCCTCCATCATCCCGTGCATCCTTTAGACCATCTCTTGAATCCCCACAAGATTGAGCGGCAAGCCATTGCAATGACAAAAGTAATTTGCTTTTAAAGCAGCACCAACTGCAACATCCAGCGATGGCAATTTAAATATGCATGGGCCATTATGCATAAGCGATGCTGTTTCTCCATTCTCGGATATTTGTGCAGAGAGCAAAAAAGATAATGTAATGTCTTCTTTGGGATAAATGATAGTTTTAATGGTAAAAGTGTGATTATTATACATAAAGAGAAATGCAGTGTGACCTTTGTAAGGCGTAACATTATTAGCAAGGCCACTAATACTTGACATAAAATCCAATTGCTTTTTAACTTTATTCCTCGCATTTCTTCAAGTGCACGTATTATTATTGGTGTGTGCCACATGCAACTCCAGTCGCATTTAGTTGCGCATTCGAGCCAACCCAATGGGGCTCTCCACTGACCCAGTAAAGTCGCCCGTTTGGTCCACGGTCTCCAGGGATCCATCCGATGCCGTAACTAATTCCGACTTAAGCCCATTCGATGTGGCATATTTAAAACTTAATTTACATGGCCGTTCCCCCCCGTTGGCCGCCGTCCCACTGCTTAAACTCTAACCTTTTAGTCGGGCTCTAACCCCTTCTCTTTCTGGCTTTAAGCCCGCGCCAAAAGCAGCTGGTTCGAAGCGGAGCACTTTGTCATTTTCAGTTTGTCACACTTTTGCCCAAATAAAATTTCATCGCCTGTCATAAAGCCTTGGAGAGGCAAGTGTCACAAGCACTTAGCTCAAGGAGGTGCACGGTATTGTTCAAGAGACCAGTGATGGAGGGAGACGGCAAGAGAGTGAGCTAACAAGTGAAGGAGACACTCAAACTGGCTCAAGTGGGGCAGGTCCGAAAAAAAAAAACGAAATATGGCAAGGAAAATTTGTCATGTGCCCAAATTCCAAATAGCAAGTGTGATAAAGATGAAACGGAATATTTTATGAGGTACAAAATATGTGCTATTATGGGAAAAAACTGATTTACGTGGGATTATTGGAATTCTACATTTACCTTCTCCCTTAAACTTTTTCCAATAAAATCCAACTTCAACACCTTGCCTATCTTTTATATTTATCGTATCTCTTATGTGACCCGAAGCCAATTAATGTTTACCCAACCCAATAATGTGTCCATCGCTGTCAACAATTGATTCCCTCATAAAAAGGAAACCATAAAAATGTGTTCTACCCCAACAAACCCCAGATAACATACTACATACACCTTATGCAATAAATGTTTCCTCAGAGACTCCCAGCAACTAAGTTGGCATTAGACGAGCTATATCCAGAGTGCCCAAGCCAAATAGCTGTCAGGGCTAAGACAATAGAAGCGACAGACAAGCAGACAGACAGACATCCCCAAAAACACAGCAAAAATATATATAGAGTATAGCAACGAGGGTGGGTAATGGCGATCGGCAGAAGGGGAGCACCAAAAGTTGTAACTTTGACAGCCGCAAGACAGCTGTCTGTTAAATAAAAAATAAAAATAAAAGAAAAGGTACCCTGCAAAAAAAGAACACATGCTACAACAAAAAATAAAAGCGAAAACATAAATTTTGATTCACTTGCCCGGGCAGTTAGCTTCCCCTCCAAAGGTCGAGGCACAATTTTCCTATTAGCTCAAGTGAAAAATCGCTGCAAATCGTTGAGGGGATGGTTGTGGACTTTTACTGACCAGCCAGTAATTCACAGGAATCAGTAAATCAGGCCTTCCATATGCCGCTGAGCAGTATTTCAAAGCTCCATTATGCGCCAAAGTATGAACGCACCAACTTTTCCAATTAAAAGCGAAATAAACTTTTTGCCTCCGGATCTCGATCCATGAAAATTTCAATTAAAATCGAATGCGCTGGCTAAGTTCAATCCAGCTAATAAAAAGCCCATCGAATGATATTACCTGCCCGCTTGCCCCTTGGTTTTTCCCTCTCTACAAATTAAGTTGAATGACTTGGCTGCGACCACGTGGCGTATACGTAATTATAAGGGAATCGTTTTACCACTTGAGGCGCCAAATCGTAGCCAAATGTTACTCTCGCCTTATCAGACTTCTTTTTGGCCCTCTATTTTGGCCACTATCAGAGTTTCATTAATACCAATGCCTTGGCCCCGGTACGCTTATCACAAACAGAAGTCTGGCGACGACACTTGACTTGCGTTTTGCCTTTGCTTTTGATAATTTCACTTGAACAGCTCGGTCATTCGTTGGCTTGATTGACAGCCGAGTGCCGGCCAAGGTAAACGGGCCTTTTGTCTATATTCAGTGCTTCACTTGTTTAAACGCAGTCTTCATTTCTTGTATTTACTTTTATTGATATGCGTGTGCATATATATTTTGGGCTTTAATTTATGTATTCCGGTGAAGTTTTTTGACCGTGACATATTTTTTTGTTCATTGTTGAGCGTGAAAACGGGGGCACTGAACCAGGGAAAAAGTTTATAAATTTTTACTTTTTAAAAGGCAGCTTTTGGGCAGTCAAAGAAGAGCCAGCGATAAGTTTGAATTTATGACAGAGTTTATTATTTAAACAAATTGTTTACAAGTTGTATGTCTAGCCTAGCCAGAGATTATTTACCTTTTTTTTGTATCATAGAGAGAGGTAATACTCTATAAATAAAAGAAAAATAAATTATTCGTTGATATCAAGAGATTAAATTTTAATTTATGGAAAGCAAATTATCAAAAAGAGAGAATTATCAGAGGGAGAATTATTAATAAATCAGCAATAATTGCAAGTTAATTTCTGGGGTATTCAAGATAAGGTTAACCTGTATTTTTAAAGAATATATATACAAGGTGATAACTGATTATCATGAGACTTAATCTAGATTTAAATCATGGTAAAAACTAAAATCTTGGACCAAACTTACATAATTTAATTAAATTTCAAGAAACTACTTTTTATATAATTCCAATTTTAGCTACATTTTTAGGTTAACATGCATTTTTCCATCTTTCAGACAACATCCTTTTACCCCCACATCCTTGTTTCCTATCTAGCACAACCCCTTGTCTTGGTAATGGCTTTTCATTTGGCGCAACCTTTTCATCTTTCATTGCCGGCACCCGCAACTTTTATCCTCAATTAGGATTTATCTTTCACCGGCAAGCGTTTTTCCATTTTACACTAGTTTTTCCCTACCTCACACGCTTTTCCCGCACCCCGTACCGCAGTTTTCCGCCTACAAAATGCCAGCACTAACTAGTTGAATGCAATCAACACGCTTGCAATTAAATGCGACAAAGTGCAGACTTGCAGTGTTGCTTGTTGGTGTTTAACCCGTTCCGCCCACAGTTCCAGTTCTCCTCTCCCCCCAACCGACCACCACCTTATGGAAAAGCGACAACTGTCAGCGGGTCTCTTTGGCACACATTTACAACAGCCGCACAACAGCCCCCATTTCCTTCGTGTGAATTTAATTTGTGCATAATTGCAGTTGCAACTGCAATTCAAATGTGGTGCAGCCATAAAATGTCAATATCAAACAGTAATCAACGATGGAATGTTTTCTGTGGCTTTTGTGTGTTTTCTTTTCACTTTGACGAATTTTACGAGGGTTTTTCCTCAGTCTGCAGCAGTCTTGCAGTCTCCACAGTCTGCTAGTCTTCAGTTTTCAGACATGTAGACACGGTGGCCAATTGACTGACTACAGTGGAGGTTATTTTTTTTTTTAGAAAAGTAAACCAATTTGCAAATTAAGTTTTCCAACGCTAAGTGCTCTGTGGAAACGAGTTTATTTTGTACGCTTACGAGGGAGGAGAGCTGAAAGGGGGAAACTGTGTCCATTATGCACATGTGTGTGAATAATTTTCCCATGCAAATGCAAAGGAAGAGTGCAAATTTATGAGTTAATTGGCTTTGCAGCATTAACAATTCCGTTAAACTTATTTTTAATGGCATACCGGAAGCATCTTTCAGTTGCCATTATCATATTTTATGGTAAATAAATCAGGCCCTGATATAAATATAAATTTAAATATATGTATAAAATAAATTGTATATATTTACCTGCTAATCTTAGTCTTCATTTATTTTTTTTCAGAACCACCATGCGACTGACTCAACGAAAACCCCTCAGCGAAATGTCCAAGCCAAACGGATTCCATCAACAGAAGGCCCTAGCCAGGCGACCAATCAAATAAATTGCCAATAAAAAATAACAACAAAGTGAATAAACAAAACAAAATTAAGGAGAAAAGGTCCAGAGGATATACAAACTTCGAACAAATCCCAGAGGAGCCTCGTGGTTCGTTTGGTTTTTTCGTTTTTTTTTTCTATTCACGGAAAGCGTGAAAGAAAGCCGCCAAAATTACGACGTACCACCCACCAACGCCCAAGGTCAAACAGAACCCGGCCAATACGGACGCCATGTCCGGGCCGGGGGCGTTTGACGATGAGCCGCCACCGGAGCCGCGCGACGGATGGCTACTGGTGCGCATCCATGTGCCGGAGCTGAATGTCTACAAGTGCCTGCAGTTCCCATCGGAGCGGCTCGTCTGGGATGTCAAGCAGCAGGTGCTTGCCTCGCTGCCAAAGGTATGTCGGTCACTGTCATTATATACATAACATTACACATACATAGAACATAGTACGGATGTACGATAATCATAGTCTCTTCAGTGCATTATACTATATATAGAGCAGCACGCCAAAAGCATGTGCCAGAAACTTACTAAACGGAAAATAAGCAATTAGGGACTTTTCAATTAAGAATATCAGATCTAAGCGAGGTTTTTAATGCTAATTACCTCTAGATTCTGCTCAAAAAATAATCAAAGAAAATGCTAGTTTTTGTATATTTTTAATTTTGAACTAAGCTCATGAATGCTTTTGCAGAATGCACACATAGTAATTTTGTATATATTTCCAAGTACAAGTCATCAAACAGAATCCATACTGAAGCTCTGTCATCAAAAGATCATATGTAACCAGTTTCAAGCTCGTCTTCGTAGGCAAAAAGCAGGTGAACATAATAGGACCAAACCACTATCCAGGTGTAGATTAAAACCACTGTAAGGATATATTGAGTGTGAAGAATATATGATAAATTTGTAATGAATATATGAAAAATATACGAGAGTTTTATGATGAAAATATGAGGAATAAACGGGGAATATATGAAGAGTATATGAGGATTTAATTAGGAATATATGAGGAATAAACAGGGAATTTATGAGGATTATGTGTACAACGTAAACTCACCTATGGTCAAGAGCGTTAGTAGGATTATAACCAGTTTAAAGGTGTAGACAAGCAACACCAGAATATGAACAAGTATCCAAACTGGCGAAAAGACCAAGAAGGGCAGAAAAAGCATTTCGTTGTTCTAAAAGGAAAATAATTATAATTAAAATATAATATCTTAAAAGATTTGTTTAAAAGAAACCAGAAACCATCTTAAAACTTTGTCTAAAAGTTATTTGGTTCTTTATGTTTTGTATCCCAATTTTCGTAATCTTTCTTTATCAACCCTATTGCTTGTCTGTGATCAAGTTTCTATATCTAAACACACTCACATTATGTACACCGATGCAGAGCAAGGCAGATACTAAAATGCCAAAGAAGGAAAACACCATGGTGGTCTTGAGGGCGGCCGGTGCAGGATTAAAATGCGTGGTATACTTTTGGTACTCATCGGGGAAGATGGATTCCATCATGAAGCCAGTGCCGACGGTCAGGTAGATGAACCAGGTTAGGAAGATGCATCCAAGGAGCAAAACCCCAAAGCGCAGGGAATAGCACAGACAGCACCTGGTCACGATCTGTCTTAGATACCAGCAGTGACAAGCCATGGCAATGGATACAGTATCTTCTTTTCCTCACAAAAGTTGAACAAGTTTTCGCAAATATTTATTGTTGATCAAATTTCTATGTATGTATAGATGTTTGAGTTTTGGTTACGACTTTTAGCCCAAATCTGAGTGACAACATAAACTCAGAAAACTAGATGGTTACAAGAATATAATTTATTTGACGAAATATGACTAGACACTTGGTATAATTTAAATGAAAACAATGACAGTACGACAGTCACTTCAAATGGCATCGTCGTGCTCCACCGTCCGTAGGTACCTGTAAAATGAATGCACTATCAACAGCGAGTATATCAGGCCAACTGTTGGGTCAGAGAATTAGGAGCGAAAGGGTATTAGGTTGGGAATCACACGATTAGCTTACTTATGATCACCGACTGGACGGCGATTATTATCGGCGGTGGCGAGGATTTTACAAAAGATATTATATACAGGATGATGTACATCAGGAGTATAATAACATAGATTATAACCCAGAGCAGGACGAAGCATCTCTTGCGCTGTAATTAAAAATAGAGGGGAAATAAAATGTCTGGGTTGATGAGGACATTTCGGGGCATACCTCACCTTGGCGGCGCCATAGATCAGCAGTACGGACCCCAAGGTTCCCGCCATCAGGATTGGGGCCATGACAACAGCACCCCAGGACTTTTGGGAGACGTTCTTTATGAAGATCGTGTCGTTCGTATGCGTTATCAATTCGCCCACGTGGAAGCTCAAGAAGAGGACGCCGATGATGTAGCATCCGTAGTTTAGCGGTAACAAAAAGCAACATTTCTTGAAAAGCATCGTCATCGTCAACAAAGTGTAAATATTTATTACATAATTTTTACATAAATTGGGATTTATGACCTCGAAAGCAAAGATTATTTGATCTTGGTTTCATTTTGGGGATTTAATTGAAGAATATAGATAAATAAAGATAAATAAATCAATTTATCAAATTTAAATTTGGCCCGCAAACCATGGCAACAATTTCCATTAAACTAAACATATATTTTTTTATTACTTTTTTTTTTTTTGAGGAAAAGCCGACACAGAAAACCAATTACATTGGAATTGCAATGCAATTTTTCACCACTTTTTTTGTTGTTGATTGAATTTTTATCCAGCTGCCACGTGCCCTTCCAGCATTATTGAACATGAAGCCGAGGCCGACAGGGCCACGCCCCTGCCCTCGAATGGCTGAAATGGCCAAAAGCGCCCTCGTGAAGTTTCAATTTTTGAAGTTCAATGCAATTTTCTGCAACTGGTGAGTCGTGCACGCCCGGTTGGTCGGAAATCGTGACGCTGCAGATCCAAAAGATATTTGACAATTGAATGGCACTCGTCTGTCAAGGAAGGGGTTAAGAAAAAAGAACCAGACAGCAAAGAAGGAAGGTTCTAATTGATGGTTATCGGATTTGTTTTCCATAATAAAGCCATATAAAAGCATATATTTAAAACTAATGCTCAAAGAAGAGGTATAAATATTAGTTGGAAGTTATTTTAGGTATAGAGAATGATAGCTGAAGTTGATTTTATTTTGGATTTCGTTTTCCCTTATAATTTCCTGTACTTTACTTTACTTACTTTGGGTTAATGAACGCCAAACAAATGGCCAATCAATTGTATACATTTAATAACAAATTTGCTTGCTAAACAAATTGCTGTCGAAACACATTGTCAAAGTTCAATGCGGGGGCTGCCGCACCCCATTTCAATAATGAAACCGCAGAATTGCAAACGGATACTGAACGAAACCGAACTGCAATCGATTTTGGAGCTGACCTGCTTTGACCCAGGAACACAATGACCTCCAGCTAATTGCTGCATGCTGGCTTGTTCCGTTTTCGATTTGGTCAATACCGATTTCCGATTCGATGTGGCAAGTGAGGGTACTTGGACTCTGCTCTTTTAGGGGGCGGTATTTTGTTTTTGTTGTTGGTAACTGGTGAGGGGGCGTGCCTTGTTGTGACTGTTATTTGGAGCTTAGTAAATTATGTTGTAAATTTTGGTTGAGGTGTGTGGGAACCAGGTGTCGGTTGATGCAAATAATCTAATCTAGTTGGGGTTAGGACTGTGTACTGAAACCCATATGCAAATGTGTTTATTTTTTCTCTTTCTTTATAATATATCCAACTATAAATTTTAAAAGTATTACCCCAAGTTAAATGTAAAACTATAATAGTTCCATATTTAATACACCGGTTATTGATCCCTCATAAATTAACCAGGTTTTCCACCTCGTTCTGGGTACTGGTTTTCTCAAGTGGAAAGCATATCAGGTTGTTGGCACATTTCCTGCTTCCACAGTTGTATATCAATCAGCGTATTGACCGCATATCTTATCGGTGACCAAACATAGAACCCTCTATATGGGTCTGTCATAAAGAATACGATGCCTGATATCATGGCGTAAATATTTGCAGGCCTTAACTTTTATTTATTGTTTTTTTTATAATTTTTGCGAACCTTTGATAACTGCAGAACTATTGAGTAAATCCCAAAGACCCAAGACAATAAGTTGACATTTTATCGGTCGTCGGTCGCCTTTATCGGGACACCTGACAGTGGCGCAGGCCTTATAAATTTATTATTAGACTCTTGTGGAATTTATTTCCTAACCATCAATCAGTCAATTTGTCAGTCAGTCATTGAGTCAATCTAACGCTGCTTCAATTTGTGCAGTTTGTGTTGTGTGTGTGTGGGCCTCTGGCATTTCAACTTCCGCCTGCTAATCAAATCGAAATTGAAGCTTTTTCTGATCAGTATTCGAGTCTTGGGATTTCTGGGTGGGCGTTAGCTGCCGGACTCCAAGTTGTCTTGGCCTCAAGTTCAGTTCAGTCAATAACTTTGGCTCGTGGAGATAAGGAACCAGAATGGAAAGCTTAGCCGCATTTGGTTTTATACACTTATAATGGAATTATGATTAAGAAAACAACCTGTAATGGATATTTGAGGTTTATTTTAATGGTTTTGTAGATATATTTTTAAGAGTTTTTGATTTAAAAGAGATTAAATGTTATATTAAAGCCTAAAAAGAGATTTAATAAGATGTCAAGCCCTTAAATATTTTAGAAAATATCAATACTTTATATATTTAAGCTTTATGGATTGTCAGAAATACCTAAACCACCTTTCTTTACCTGATTATAATATAAAAACTTCATAAAGTTTATTCCTTACTTAAAGCCAACTTTGTTCCCTTTAGTTTCCTTCCCAGAACTTTGCTGTAACTAAAACTGCAAACGCACTAAGATAAAGTGCAAGCGAATTCCCACCATAAATCAGCAGCGACTAAAGCGAAATTCAAAGGGGATTTCTAATCGAATGCTCTTAACTCTTAACTTTCCAGCTAGGGATAGACAGAGAGACAGACAGTCAGACAGGATAACCCCTTGATGGCCAAAAGTGCCAGAGGGCTAAAAGGGAATAGAGGAATTGCTTTTAGCCAAATGGTAGAGGGAAATGTGGTCAGCAGCGAGGAGAGAGCAGACCCCTGAAATCCCTTTATTTATGACCTCCGCAACTAGAATCAATTGAAGACAATTTCTGGCCAAAATAAACAAAATAAATCTTAAACTAAAACGGAAAAGAGGGAGAGAGTTAGACCTAGTTAATGGGCAAATGCCTTAATTAAGCCAAGTTAATGTGTGTAAGAGTCTCTTGTATGGGGTTGAAATAACTACAGCAGTTAAAACTTTGCTTGGAAAATGTCGAAAATGTAGACATTTTGCATGGCAAAAATCCACTTGTATACACAGAGAGTCAAAGTTAGAGTCGGGAGTAGGAGTAAAACCCCCTCTCAACAAAATCTCCGGGCGCTCGTTAGATTTAATGACGCCGCATAGTTTGCGCACGCACGACATCATTTCAGCGACTTTCCGTCGACTCAAGTGGCCCGGAGACCTAGTTGCAGGACCCATCTGCGCGAGTCTCTATCTCCATCTCGGTCCCTGTGTCTCCTCATCCTCCATTGAGCCGTTAATTCGGGTGAGAACTTAACTGGGTGTCCCACCCCCCAGCTCCGAGCCTAGAATGTCACATACTTTTGTGGATAATTTCGCCCCTTTTGAAGCTAGAAAGAGCACAGAGAGCTTCCTGCTTCATCCTGAGCCCCATTGTTCACAGCCATAAAGATGCTGCCGATAGAACGCGGACTCCCCTCCTCGAATCCCCCTACACTCGATTGGTTAGGCCCCGGCTGAGATTGAATTTTATACTAGGAGCCAGGAGGAGCCCGGGCACAATGAAGTGGTAAAGTTTTATAACCATTTGATGGCGTAGGGAACAATGTAGGAGTTGACTATGTGTTTAAGGCAGGCTTTTAAAGGGGTTTCAGGGGGTTTTCTGGGGGTTATACTAACTGAAAAATGTGTTATTGGATATTCTGCTTATATGTCAAGGGAAAGATTGAAAAATGGGTGCTGTTGTGCACACTCTGGATGTTGTCTTTGAATTTTTCAAGCTGTTTTTAAATATTCCATGCTGTTTTTGAAAATGTCAAGCTTTTTTGTTAATATTTCAAGCCTTTCTATAAATATGTTAAGACGTGTTCTTAATATTTTAAGCAGTTTATTCAATATTAAAATTACCTTTTTGAATATTTTAATCAGTTTTATGAATATTTCAAGCTGCTTGTTAATATTTCAAGCTTTTTTTTAACATTTTCATATTGAAAAGAGTATAAAAACATTGCCTTGTTACAAATTATCTTCCTTTCTCATCTCTTGTTAAGCTCACACACCATACACACACACATATAATATACAGTAGTATCATTCCATGTACTGCAAATAAATATTCGAGTATCCCCTTTCGCGCTGTATGCAAATTTCTCATGTTTTTATTCAACCACAACATGCAGTCATCATAAAGTGTGCCAAAAAAATAAACTTAAATTAAATGAAATTCATAAAAATAAAAATAAAAGAGTTTTATGACATTTGCCTTGCTCGCTGAGGCTTACATGGCGTATGCGTGATGTGTAAAGCATATATAGGCTAAACATGACACAATGAATGTATATAAAAACATATATACATACATATATCATGTACATTTACATGCATAAACCAAGAACATTGTTATGCGGCATGACAGCAACAACAACTACTAACATGGAGAGACAAAACAACATCATCATCAACGCACACACACAACACACAGTTGCCCAGTAAACACGATTTTCTCGTTATTAATTAAATATGTTTTGCTTTCATTAATTCCGGTGATGCCCTACCTGCCGCTGGCGTACTTTTTTTTATTTAATTAAATACCAAACAACTTAAAAATTAAAACAAAAAAACCAAAATAAATACCCACGATGCTGTGACAAATTTTTAAATGGAAATTTCTGCGGACACGAACGCCCACGCTGCGTATACGCAATCGAAAACAACTGCAAATATAATGGAACTTTAACTGGCTGGCGCTGAAATCGATAAACAAATATATAAATATATAAAATGCTGATTGAATTTACAACGCCACAATCCGTGATGCTTAACTTTCCTTGATTTTTTTTCCCTGCCGGCCAAACACTCTTTTCCGCAAATAATTTACTCAGGTGGCCTTTTGGTTTAAGGTTGGTCTTCTCGCCTTTTAATATTTACTCTCGTATATCTTTCATATCTCTTAAATACCATTGAAATGCATATGTAAAAATAATATCATGAATTATGTATTTTTTGCGGCACTTCAGAGCGTGTTTAATTGCCTAGAAAAGTGGGAATTAAAACTTTTAACGAGGTTTAGCCAATAAAAGATTATTTTTAAGGCTGTAAAAATATTAAAAATATTATCATTACTGAGCCAAGTTGGAGAATGATATTAATATTAAATTTAAATGCCTAGAAAAAAACCCTTTAAATACTTAATTTAAAATGTTACTAAAC